GCCTATCGTGGATCATTTATGCCGGCCGGTTCAGCATGAAATAAGTAAACGCGCATCAAAGCTACTTTTTTAAATGCTATCTCATCTTCTAAAGAGCAATCTGCTTTTGCCATAAAAGGCTTTAATAGTTGGAAAAAAGTCAGAAAAAATATGATTTGAGCGCTAATGAGATTTTTCATTAGAATAAAGAGGCACCATTGCGTGTTTTGAAGGCTTCAACAGACTACGGTAATGCTGGGGCTATACTTCTAATGAATTTCATTTAGAACAGCTCAACAATTGAAGTATGCTTCTCAAAGTTAATTCATTCATTTAATACTTAAGTAGGTTTATCCATTTTCAATTAAAATAAACTAATTAAAAATTTAGCCTTAGATTTTTAAACGATCATTGATTACGGAATATTCTTTGTGCTTGCTTTAGCTAACTATATATAACTATTATTAAATTTGTTCATGCAGCACTTCAAGCAATTTTTCAAATAAAATCCTTTAATAAAGTGGTTGGATTGCAAGAAAATTAATATATGGACCACGCTAATAAACGTAACCTTTGTCATAAAATGCCGTGTCGCAGTGGTAGCGCATTTGCCTCAGAAACAAAGGGATCCGTGTTTCAAACCACACCTCTGGGCAGGTTTTGCGACATCGGTTAGGAAGAAGGCGTGAACTTCCAATTAAATGCTCATTCGCGGTGCTCTGTAATAAGACCGTAAGGACTTCTTGGGGCACCTAAATAAAATAAATAAATATATAATGGCATAAGAAATGTTGCGTAATATCTCATCAAAAATCCAGTTAACAGGATTATACGTTATATTGGTAGATAAGGCTGACGATCTTAAAGATAAGACTAATCTTGAACAATTTATTGCGGTTGTGGATGACAGTTTACAAATTAACGAAGATTTCATTGGCCTTCTTTCAATGGAAATTCCTGATGCTAATTCATTCGTAAATATCATTTAGGTATCTAAAATGCTATAAAAAGTAACTTTTTGATATATTAAAAAAAACAGCTTTATCAATTAAGGTTTTCATTTTGTGCAGAAAATTTTCTTGTTAATATCATCTTTAAAATTAAAAACTCTTTCGTATTAATAATATGTTATTCCACAAATGTACGACTGTTTGATCCTCTACCTTTTTTTTTAATTCACCAGTGTATTTATACGCTTCAAGTAGAATGATGCTCGTGAACAATGACGCAAATTCCATGGCAGGTAAAAATAAAGAGGTTGAAACAGTGATAAAAACACTAAACCAAACATACTTGTATACGCCGAATTGTGGGTATGACTTGAATCTTGCTGAAAAAAATTATGTTTGAAATGTGAAACTGTTAACAGAAACCTTCAAAACGATAAAAAAAATGTGTAAACTTGTAAAAAATCTCTAAAAAGAAAAACTCAACATAAAGAGCGTATTCCGCGCAAGTATGAAAAGCGTAGTGTTCATGCATTTTGTCAAATTCTCTTGACACTTTCATGTATAATAGAAAGTTATGATACGTTGATGGATCTATGAACATTGGAAAATCTAAAGGAAACTGAGATCATATCGCGTATCGACTACACGTGCAGCGGTTCAATACTCTTTTTGGTTGTCTTTTAAAAAAGTGATTTTAATACAAACAGATCACAAACAATTTCAGAGTAGTACGTGCACTGCTATTGAAAGCCAAAATTTTGCTTTTTAGAATCGAAGGTTATTATACTGCTAATACCACGCTAATATATTCATAAAGTTATGACTCGGGCAATCGATAATTGAAATTGCAAAAGAGTTCGTTGATCAGAAAGAAACACAATGAGACTCCCTAGCCCCTTCCCCCTTGATCTCCCCCATTGAAACATTTTTTGAAGAGTCTCCAAATAGAGCATTCAATATCAATATTGCAAAACTCACTTCAATGCCAAAAGCTTTTAATATACCTATTTCTTTTGATATACCTTTTTCTTTTGATATACTACTTTTTTCTTTTTTGTCTTTAAAATCAAGTAGAATATAAAGTAATCTCTTTTATTAAACATTGCAAGCAAAATCATCAGGTTTTATTCTGATTCACCTTCAAAAGATCTTCTCAAACAGTATATCCCTATTCCCACACCCTCCTCATAAAACTTGCGCGCCTACGATCCAGCTGATTCAAATTTGAATCATTAGGAAATTTTGGAAAAAAATCTCAAATGACTTTTAAATGAATTTCAAAACTATTTGAAAAAAAAACTTAAAAATATATTACAGAAAAAAAAGAAAAAGAATATAATTGGACATGAAAATTAGACAGTTAACAGCGAATCTTTTAAACGTTAATAGAAAAAGTTGTGGAATCTAATTTAACAGCGAACCTTTAAACTTTGAACAAGTGTAAATGCGCATTTTGCACTTACACAAGTGCGCAAAAGTGCACACTTGTGTAAGTACAAAAAAAAGGCAGATTTATGACTATGGCCTAAGTAGTGCAAATGCGTGCAAGAAGCGACAGTCTTTTGTTATTAGTTATTGTAAAATTTTTAAACAAAATTTTTTATTATTATGATTATCAGTATGAGTTGTTTATGATAAATTTTGATAAGTTTTTAATATGTTTCATATTTTAGTTATAAAAATAATTTGGCCTTTCTTGCGCTTCTTTTTTACTGCCAATTTTGAAAACCAAAATGAACTGCAAAAACGGTTATTTTTTTATTTAACATTCTTTATTTTTATTATAATTTTTTTAATAATATTTTTATTATAATATTTTTATTATAATATTTTTATTATAATATTTTTATTATAATATTTTTATTATAATATTTTTATTATAATATTTTTATTATAATTTTTTTGATATTAAAAAACCTCTGAATGAATGAGTTAGTACTCACTTGCGTAACTTGTTACTTAAAAGCACTTGCAGCTAGTGTTTTTAAAACTGTTTGGTACACTAGATCCAGTTTTTAGTAATGCAGATTTGCGTTTAGGCAAGTTGCTATTACTACTTCAATCTTATACAGGTGCAGCTTACATTTACAAACTTTACATATATGTAGAGTTAAAAATTCCTGTTATAAAAATTGCCACATGGACATAAGGCTTGCACAAAAACCATGCGAGGTTATTGTAACTTGAATTATTATCTAATCAAGTCATTTTTTTGACTACATCAGTATTACACTCAGTATCGTCAAAATCATGATTTCCATCTCTTAGGTACATCTGATTGCCATCTCTTAGGTTAGACACGTTTGTTTAATCACCAATGACAAGTTTTGTCGTTGTAAATGACAAAACTTTAGTAAGAGATCCGAGCTCCATTAATTAAGTTTTTCAAAATTCAGATGGAGCCATCTTCATGTGAACGTTTCAACTGTTATTACTTGTTATTGTCAAAGTAAGCGTTAAAAAAATGCATAAAAGAAAGTTTTTAATTTTACACCTTAAATAACCTTATATAACCTTAAATAACTTAAATAACCTTAAATAACCTTAAAAGTTGCAAAGAAACTAATAGCATAATATATAAAGCGAAACATATATATTTATGGTTCTGCAATAAGTAATAATAATTTTAAAATGAATAAAAAATTAAAAACCTGAAACTCATATTCCTCATTATGTATGCAATTAAACCAATTTATCATCCAATCAAATCATTATCAGCTATAATGAAAAATTATTTAATCTAAATATTATTTTATTTATAAAATGTATTTAAAAAAGCTAAGTTTTCACGCAAAGAGCTCAATTAGTTCCTTGCTAATATCAATGCTGATTTATTTTAGTATGCAGCTACAAGATGAAAATTTTCTGCAGCAACAGACCGAATATTTTTTTTGCATGCATCAGTAATTGTGCAAGTCGCACTTTTTGTTCTCAAAAGCCCAATTTTTTTTTTCCAAAATTTTTTACTGATTAAATTAATGTTTTTTTTTTTGTTTTTTGTACAATTCGTTTTGCATCTGACTTCCAAATATATAATTTTTAAGTTTGAACTAAAACAAAAAAAACTTGCGATTTTTAGTTTTATATTTATATATATATTTTTTTTGTATATTTTTAACTTTTGATAGTGCGTACACTTGCACGGCGCATTCACTGCGTCTTTTGCACAATTGTGCAAAAGAGCGTGTTAGCTACATGTTTGATTTGCCAGCCGCAAACCTGCAAGCAGCTAGCTGATATCAGCTATGCATTGATAATAATAGATTATTACGTTTTTATTAATTAAAATGAAAATTAATTTAACAAATTTAATCAAAGATCATTTGATGTATGCAGTATTGATATGCAGAATAGATAAAAGCCGTATTGCATTTTGGAAACAGTTTTTTTTTTTCATTCATAAATATCAGTTCTTGTTGCTCCTGAGCATACAACTTTTTCTTTTGAAAAGTATATGTGCTTCAGGTATGCTTACCTGGTTTTTGACAAATTTACGAACTCTTGTAAGTGTCTGTATAGGAGTAATGAAAGTGAGAAATTGAATAAGCTTTTTATGAGAAGTGAATACTTGCTTTTGATATAGAAACCATAACTGAAAAACTTAAGAGTTTTTTTTTCTTAAGAATGGTCTAAATTTGACGGCTAAAACTCCAGCAAGTATCATAACACTCCGGCATATATTTAAAACTTACTCATAACGACTGATACAATTCTACGGATCACGCGGTAATTGAGCTTGTAAACCATATATCGGATGCTTTAAGTAAATTTTTTTTTTCCTTATTTTTTTAGCCGTACAAATATTTACAAGTTCCGTGTTTTATAATGTATATATAAATGGCAAGGACGAGAAGAAGACAGGTTTGCCTTATCACCAAGCCCCTTGTTTTTTCAAGATATTTATATAAATACGTTGTAACTAATATTAAAAATTAAAAATGAGAGAAAAAAGCAAAATGTTTTAAAGAAGTTTATACAAAATGCAAAACAGTTTAATAAAGTCTTTCAAAGTTATTTTTAATGTTTAAAAAATATTTTTGATTAATTTTTTTTTTTTTTTTTTTATTTTAATTCACCTCCTCAAGGCCGAGAAGGCCACTACAGACAAGGAGGCTACTTATTTGTGGTTATAACCCTCTCTCAACTCTATAACTCCGAAACACGAATCTTGACGAGCAAGGCCGCTGCGCGGAGAAACGAGTTGATTATTAAAATTAAAAAAGTAAATAAATTAAAAAGTTCTCAATAACATGAAGATTAACTACGGTAATGCAATGCTATTTATATTCTAATTTCAAAGTTATTGTAAAGCTTCTTCAGCATTCCGTAAATCCGTAAATTTGCATTCAGCATTCCGTAAATTCCGTAATTTTGACGCAGCTGTGAGTTGGAACCACTATTATCTCAAGGCCTTAAATATTTATAAATTAAGCATTTACCAAATATTATTATTCATGTTTAAAATGATTCGTCGAATATGTCCACTAATATTTTAATCATACTTCAGCAAAATTTATCATAAATATCCAACAAATTTTTCAGGAATTAACTTTATTGTTTCGAGAAAAAAGGAATTCTAATCGAATTCGATATCGAGGACCTTTGATATGGAAATAATTTATTTAAAGATCCAGTAAAGAACACTACTTACTAAAGAAATTTCAAGCAGAATCTGACAGAATTCAATTAGATTTTAATACATTAGGTTTTTAACTTTCTAAAGATAATTTTAAAATATAAAAAACAGCAAACGTTTTCATTATCACTAAATATATATAAAAAAGCGTTTGGCCAATTCCATTTTTAACTTACGTAACCGGCGCAACAACTTTATCAAATATTTGCCTATTTGAAACTTTTAGCTAAAAATGTCACTTAGCTTACGTAATACGGAAAACTAGGTTAAAAACTAGGTAACGTTTATGCGTATTTCCTTATGTTCATTAAGTTGTTTTTAAAATGCTGCAAAATATTTACATTTAAATCTTTTAAAATACTTTTGACGAAAAACTGCTATCACAGTTTAGGGGAGGGGGGGAGGGAGAGGGGTTATGGCATAAGTTTGTGACACGAGGGAAGGGGTTAAAAATTGGGTGACGTGCTTTATGGATAACCCATTATAGCATTTACAAACGATTTGTCTTACTTAAATAAAAACAAAAAAAAATTTGACTGATTTTTTTTATATTAGGAGAATAGCAAATAAATCTTTTTTTTTTAATGTCTAAATATAAATGTTTATATAAATCTTATTTTTATTTAAACATGTGTATTTATGTCAAATAAAATAAAAATACATAAACAAATAAAAAAGCATTTATATAAATAATTTTAATTGACATAAAAAAAAAAAAAAAGTTTTTTTCTAAATTCTCCTAACATAAGAACCTTGTCAACGAAATAATAATTACTTAATGACGTAATTCATCGTGTTAACGAAAAAGCGCCTGAACTTTTTTAGTAAATACTTGCATGGCCTACTATAATTACTGTAATTACTGTAATTATAGTAGCTATATATATAGTAAGCTATATATAGTAGCTATATATAGTAAATATAACTACTATAGTTACTGTAATTATAGTAGGCCATGATACTTGTAATTTTAATTTACGTTACACAAATCTAAAATAAAAATATGCTCCAACTTAAGGACTGGCGAATATTCGTTAAAATTCGGATTACGAAGTTGACTTCAGCTTCGTCTTTGGTGCTTCAGCTTCAACTTCGGTGCCGATGTTGAAAAAGAAATTCGGCTTTCAGTTAAATTCGGTAACAATATCAAAGTTTCATTTAACTTTCAGTTAAATTCAAAAGCTCTAAAGTTTTTTTCAATTTATAAAGAAGAATTATAAAATATATTATATGTTTTATGTATATCAACCTGTTTCTATTGGTTACAACCCTCTTTCAATTGGTTACAACTCTCTTTCAGAGTTGAGAGAGGGTTATAACCAATATAAGAAGTAGCTTCCTTGGCTAAAGTGGCCCACTCAACTTTGTGAACATGAATTGGATAAAAAATTAAAAAATAAAAAATCGTTCATGTTCGTTTAAAACCATTAAGAGTTGTAAAGAGTTGTATTTTGACGCAAATTGTTTTTTGTAAGCGTATACTTTTTTAATAAATTAAAATTTACTTGGCTTTACTTGCTCTATGTTAAGTTTTAAATTATGGTTAATTACAAGCTAAAAGTAATAACTTTAGTTTATAAAAAATGGTTATAGAGCAACCGCTGCGCAGTAGTTAGAGCGCTTGCTTAAAAAGCAATAGACCTTGGGTTCGAAATAAGCTCTAGACATATTTCGCACCATCGGTAAGAAAAAAGGTTTGAACTTTCTAGTTTAATACTTTTCTTCTTCTTTTTTTTTTTGGTGCTCCTAGAAGAAGACTAGCCACAGTGCACCGCGGATTTAAACAGGAAGTTCACGCCTCCTTCCTTACCGTGACGCGAAATTGTGTCCAGAGCTCGTTTCGAACCTGGATCTCCTACTTATAAACAAGCGCTCTAACCACTGCGCCACAGCCGGACATTTCTGATGTACTCCATGGCAAAACCCTTCTCGGAACATTTTATACAAAAAAAAAAAAAAAAAAAAATTTTCAAAACTTAAAAAAATCTTTAAAAATTTCTTTTTTAACTAAATGTGCTTTTAAAATCCAAATTAGGCTTTCAGTTAAATTCGGTTTAAAAGTCAAGTTCGTCTCAGTTAAATTTGGAACCTAAATATCAATATTCAATTGCTAAAAGTTGACGAAAAAGAGAATAAAATTTGACTACTTTTTCATTTTCCGTGAAACTGCCTATTTATCAAATATATCTGTATGTTTGTATAAGTAAATGGAGTTTTTTCTTATTTTAAATCAGTATAAAAGAAATCTTAGTATATGACAAAAGTTATATGTATTTTTAACTTTTTGTATATATTTTATTTATATATATTTGTTTATATATTTTTGTTTTGTTTACAAACACTTACAATATTTACATGGCCGACGATACGGTTTTTGAAGTGGATATCTCTATTATATTCCTCTATATCTTTTTTTTTTTTTTTTTTTTTTTTTTTTCCAAGTGAGGATTTTCACTATTTTACAATAAATATTAAAAAAAAAAAAAAAAAAATGCGGAGACTCGTAGAAGACCTTAAGTTCTTGTCGTCGAGAACCGCTGCAAACTTGTAACAAATTTACGTGTTAAATATATTAAAATAAAATAAAAAAACTGTGTTTAACAATATTAGAAGAAAAAGATAATTTAAATAAAAATAGAAATTAACAAATAAATTTCCTATTAAAAGTATAAAAGTATATTATCAATAGACAAAATGATTTTCTTAAGTTTCCTTTTATATGATTTATAAGTCCATTCATGAGAAAAGTCAAAATACTTCAAAACTATTTTATTCCAAAGAAAGGCTCCTTGGAAAGAAACACAAGATTTACCAAAATTTGTATGCGAAAATTGTAGTCGAATAAAATTATCATTTCGTAGATTGTACTTGTTTTTTTCTTTTATCGAGTATAGGTTATGAAAGGAAGAAGGGGAATTGTTGGTTTTACATTTAGCTTAGCTGATATACATTTAAAATATTCATTTCAAGTAAGAGAGGCCTGGCATGAGGTAAACGGCCTTTCAAGTTTATAAGACGTGCAATGTGTTTCTGTTGACGATGAAGAGGTTCTAGTATACTTTTGTTCACACTACCCCAAGCAATATTAGCGTAGTTAATATGGCAGTGAATAAAAGAATAATATAATTAAATTAAAGTATGTTTATTTAAGAAACTTCTTAATTTATATAATATTCCTATAGTTCTAGCAATTTTGTTATTTAGATTGTTAACGTGATTTTTCCATTTAAGTTTTTCGTCAATATAAATGCCTAAAAATTTTGTAATTTTTGTTGGCTTTATTTCAATATTGTCAACAAAAATAAGTGGCGTAATACTTGGAATGATTTTTTTTTTTTGAAGTTCGGTAAAAAAGCATCCATTTAATTTTTTCTATATTAATTGATAGTTTGTTTAATTTAAACCAGTCAGAAATTTTAATTAGCTCAGTGTTCATATTTCTAAAATGTTGTTAGATCATTGCTGGTTAAAAAAAGATTAGTGTCATACGCCAACATAATTGTCATTAAGTTTGAGGCTTTGTAGAGATCATTAATGTATATTAGGAATAGTAATGGGCCTAGTATTGAGCCTTGTGGCACTCCAAAAGTTATATTTAATAAATTTAATGATAATGATGAGTCTATTTGAATAAACTGTTAACGATTAGTTAAATAGTTCTTCGGTAATAATAAAGTATTTCCAGTGATTCCATAATGTTCTAGTTTGTTATAAAGAATTTCATGATCTATAGTATCGAAAGCTTTCGATAGATCTATGAAAATACCTAATGTGTATTTCGATGTTTTAAATGAATCGGCAATATTTCTTGTTAGTTAAAGTATTGCATGTTTTGCAGAATTATTTTTTTTAAATCCATATTGATTATTATATAATATTTTGTTTTCTGATAAGTGGTTAAAAATTTTATTATATAATACTCTTTCTAGAGTTTTTGAAAAAACTGGGAGAACTGATATTGGACAATAATGACTGAGTTTAGTAGGTTCCCCTCCTTTAACAATTGGGGTAACTCTGGCTATTTTGAGTTGGTCAGGAAATACTGCTTGGTTTATTGAGCATGCAAAGACCCTACAGAGAATATTTTTAATTATTTCATATGAACCAATAACATTATTTCCGTTTACATCGTCTGGACCAATTGCTTTATTAGACTTGAGCATTTTGAAAGCAATCTCAAATTCATCAAAAGATAATTTAAATTTATTTAGACATGATATTTAAGGGGAAATTAAATCTTTTTATGAATTGATTGAATTATTGATTATAGCTAAACTTGGTCCGACTGATACAAAGAACTTGTTTATATCGTTTGCTATTCTGTTAGGGTTATAAAAAATTTCAGTATTTATTTTAATTGCATTTGGCAAAGAACATAATTTCATTTTACTGTTACAAGTGATTTCAGTAACAAGTTGCCATTTTCGCTTCAAGTCATTTTTGTATTTATCAAATAATTCGCTGTAATAACTTCTTTTAAGGTTTTTTTTTTTGATTTTCAAATAGTTTGATAAAGGTTTTATAGAGAGTTTGTATAGGTGTTGTAGGGTATTTAATATATAGTTTTTGTTTTATTTTTGGGATTTTCTAAGATCTTTTGTTACCCATGATGATTTTAAACTTTTTTTTGTTTTATTAATTTCACATTTCGGAAAGTTTACATCATAAACTTCATAAAAAATGCATTATACATATTATTTGCTTCTGACAAATTACTTACTGAATTTCAGTTTATTAAGGATAATTGTTCCTTAAATGATAAAATATTTTTATCATTAATAAAGCGTTTGATAACGACCTGTTTTTCATGTAATATCGAATCTGTATTAATATTTATAGATAAAAAAATAGGAAATTGATCGGAGGTATCTCTTTTAATTATTTCTGTTTTTAGTAATTTATTAGATGTGTCAGTTGTTATGATATTGTCTGTTAACGAGGCAGATGTTCAGAGACGTATTTGAATTTTTGGCACCCTGGGGCACTGTTCCTTTAAGCGCCCTTTTTTAAGAATAATGTCAACTTTGATATGGGGTGATTATTAAAAAAAAAAACATTTTCTATACCAACATATATTAAGTTATATTAATCACTATAGAAAATTATAATTTTCTATGTGAGTTTTGTTTTGCAAATGTATTTATAATGTCATTAAAGTTCATATCTATGGTAAGTACAGATTCTATAGATAGAATTGCTAACCTATTAAGACGATCACTTGTCATTCGCGACCTCAAATAAGATTTAACCCTCTTTAATGCTGAAAATGATCTCTCGGCTGAACAATTGGACGTTGGGCAGCATAGATATATTCTTAATGCTATATCTACATAAGGAAACAGCTCTTGAAGTTTTTCAGTTCTGATCATTTTATAAACATCTATTATAGTTTTAGGTCTTAAGTTTTCAGTTAAACTCATTAAATAACTTCTGAATTGTATACACTCGTTAGCAAATGAAGACGAAAGATCATTTTTATATACATTTTGAAGTACCTCTGCTTTTTTGTAAACTTCTGATGGCGAAAGTTTTATTATTTGAAATAAAAAGTTAAATTTTTTATTGGCTTCATCATAGCACAATTTTCTTCTTTCTAGTTCAGAATGAAGTTTATCAATTATAGCATAATATGTATTAATTCTTAAAGAGTCTCGAATTTCAAAATTTGTTTCTTCTTCTCTTTTTTCATCTGCAGTTAGTTTTCTTTTTCTTTTGCGTATTTTTCGATATGTTTTGTGTCCTGACTTATTTATTGCTCTCTCTTCATAGATATCAAACATACTCCTTAAATCTAATACATATCGAATTAAAGATTCGTATAAACTTACAACTGTTTCTAAATCAATCTCAACTGACTGCAATTGTTTGCTAGTTTTGTTGAATCTCTCTAGTATATCGCCCCATAATGTGGCCATTATAGCTGTTTCAAGACTATCCAGTTTTAAATATATCCCGTTAGCTTCTAATCTTGTAATAGATTTTTCTGTTTTATCATCTTTGATAAAAGACAGTGCATTAATTATTTCAATCCAATTTTTGTTTAAACTAATACTTGCATCAGATCTTGCTGACCATCTGGTATCTGATAGTTTTTTAAGAGATACATTTTCTGTTTTAATCAAATTCTTCTGAAGTATTTCCCATCTATAAGTAGAGGCACTGAAAAATTTATAAATATTTTGAAGCAGAATAAAAAATTCAGAAACATAAATACAACAGTCCACAGCGCACTTACCAACAAGATTTAAAGAGTGTGCCGAGCATGGTACAAATGTTGCTAAAGGATTAACTTTTTTAATGCGAGCTTGAAGTCCTGTGTATCTACCAGACATATTAGACGCATTGTCGTAACTTTGACCACGACAATTATTAATATCTAATCCATGCGATTCTAAAACTAAAAATACAGCATCTGCTAATTCTTCAGATTTATGACCAGAATTAGGTAAAAACCCTAAAAATCTTTCTACCGGACAGCCATTCTTTTGAACATACCGAAAAATGAACGACAGTTGATCTACATGGCTAATGTCAGGAGTAGAATCAATACTGATGGAAAAGTATTTAGCTTCCTTTATTTCTTTCACCATTTGTTGAATAACATTATCTGCCATTATACTTATGAACTGCTCATATATATTAAATGATAGGTATGATGTTGAACCTTTTCCTTTATTTCCAAACTTCTTAATGTGTTGTGCTAAAAAAGGATCAAACTGAGCAATAAGCTCTAAGCTCATCATAAAGTTCCCATTATGAACAGATCCAAAACGGTCATCATCACCTCTAAAAGACATTCCACGAGAAGAAAGGGATTTCACAACAGCTACAACTCTTGTCAATACATTTTTCCAATAATTTATTTCTGTTTCTACTTGATACTTTAGCTTTTGATCAACTCGATTTAATACTTCTTTTCTTTCTTTTATATTCATTACACACAATTTGTGGTGTTGTGAATTTTCATGACGCTTGATTTTTTCTTCTCCTTTTTTCCAATCTGAAAAACCAACTGTGGCAAACGATGTAGTGCCACCAAATAAATAGCAGGGAGCACAAAATATTGATCCTTTACTTTCTGAGTAAATCAAAAATGTTCGGTTAATTTTTTCACCATTAACAAGAGTAGATAAAGATATACTTTTTGACATATATCGAAAACGAGTACGTCTTACCCCACCAATTATTTGAGTGTAAATTCTTTTTGACTTTTGGAAATTATTGTTCTCTAAATTTTGGTTAAATCCATTGATTGATAAATAATCTATCGTTTCTTGATTTTTTATCCAATTGGCAGGATCATTTCTAAAGGGAAAATATATTTGTTTAATATACAAAAACCAAAAAATATTATTCAAAGTTTATAACAAATTGTATAAAAAAAACATTCAAGCATTAGGTAATAGAGATAAATGCATAATATAATATAACTAGAGGATATAGGTATCGTTTAAAATGTACAGAGTGTACTATATTTGTTAATAATTTAATTTCCAGCATAATTTTACATGACAAGCGACTTAAAAAAATAGTCTACCTTTGTACATGTTTATAATTGTAACCTACCATGAAAAAAATTAAAAAAAGCTTACTCAGGAACAATACTTTGTTTAGGAAGACTGTTATGTTCAACCATTGGCAAACGTGGTGTATCATTTATTTCTTCCGATTCTGTAGACAATAGAGTTTTACTCGTTTCTGTGCTGCTGTTATTTAGTAATATAAGATTGTCTGGATTTGTTAGATTATCTTTATTAACAGTGAATCTGTGATCATTTTGGTTTCTATAGAGAAAAATATAATAAATTTTGTATAACATGCATGTACCAAAAGATATTATTTATAAATTATATCAAATTTTAAATAAAGATTTTACAATAAACATTCGGGCTTGTTCATGCATGGACAAACAGGGTGTTTCATTTAGTTCTTTGGATTCTGGAGTCAATAGAGTTTTACTAGTTTCAGTACAGCTCTTACTTGATAATATTAATATTAAATCGTCTGGATTTGATAGGTTATTCTCATTAACAATAAAGCTGTGATCATTTTCATCGCTTGTATTATTTACATTTTCAACTGAAAGCATAAATAACGATTACTACACATATCTACATTTTAGATATAAATTATTTACATTTAATAATAAATAACATAACAATATGAAGTATAAACAATAAATAACAGAACAATATGTACCTATATGTATATATATTTGCTAGAAAGCAAAATTAATAAAACGTATGGTTTTCTAGCTAAATAAACTTACCCGGCGATGTGTGAAGCTGTTTATCTGTAAAGCTAAAATATGTTTCTAACTTAGCAGTCTTTAAAAGTATTTTTGCTTGAGCTTCATTTTTTGCATGGGTTCGTTTTCGGTTTTCTGCGCCACTAAGCTTTTTACTATGAATCATCATTGCTTTTTAAAATAAGAATCCTAAAAAGTGTGTATTATATATATATTGTTATCATATATATATGATAACAATAATGTTAATACTAAAACTAAAAACAATAATCGAAATACGAATATTTACCTTTTTCAAGACTGTAGACTGTAATACAAGGGATTAAGCAGACAACATACCGAAGAACAAAATACTTAGGCCAACAATAAAAAAAACTGACAGCAATCTTAAAAATTCAAAATTATATTGTGCACACGTGGTATATACAAGATGGTTAGCAAAAAAGGCGATCAAAGTCAAATTGCTAATTTAATATAATTAATGCGTAATTTATTCTGCTCATCACTTCAAATTATATAAAAATAAATTAAAAAACAAACTGATTATTTAAAGTTTAAAGTATTTTTAAAGAGTTTTTTTTTTTTAGAAAATGTAAAGAGAATCTTTGAAGAATTATTTCATTTTTTAAAAGTAAATAGCTGTGTCTATACCTAAGTATTTCTGTTAATAAAGTCAATTAAGAGTAAAATGAAAATGTTAGGTAAAACGCACCATTTATTTTTTTCTAGTATATTATTTACTAATTAATAAATAAGGATCAAGTATTTGATTAATAAAAATTATAAATCATTTATTCAAAAAAAAATATAAATTTTATTTATATCAAGATTAGATAGTATATTAAATAAGAACACTCGTAGGAGTAGACCTCGGAGCGCCAGCGTCAGAGTGATGAGCTTAACCGTTAAGCTATCGCTACATACCGTATCATTAAAATATTTATAATAAATAAATAATTTGTTTAGACACGTGACTTTCAGTATCAAATCAACGTTTTTAGATGAATAATTGGCGCATAATTATGTATAATTTGCAAGTTTAATTTGATCTCCTTTTGATTGATATTTTCTTCTGCTAACTAAATTTTTCTAAAATCAACTAGAGATATTTAGTAAGTCGATAAGTAGGTCTATGATTTGAACATAATAATAATATAAAAATTTTCGTGAAATGATATAAATAGACTATTTTACAATTTTCTAAAATTCTAACATTCTGAAAGCTGGCGCCCTGTCAAAACATGGCGCCCGGGGGCCAAAGCCCCCCCTGGCCCCCCCGTAAATACGTCTCTGCAGATGTTGCAGTTACCCTTGTTGTTCTATTTATTAAAGGAATTGCTCCATTTTCAAACAAGTCATGATAAAACTTTTTAATATTTTTATTTGAGTAATATTCAAAACAGTCTAAATTCATATCACCAATTATGTAATTTAATTTCTTTTTTTGAAAACCTTTTCTTATTATATCAGTAATTAAAAAACTATTAAATTGTTCAATTACGCCTGAAGGTGGGCGATAACAACAACTCAAAAGTATATTTTTATTATTTTTGATTCTAATTTCAATCGTTAAAACCTCATCGGAAATACTCATGTCAGGCCTGATAATGAATCGCAAGCTTGTGGTTAATTAAATAAGAACACCACCGCCTCGTTTATTTGTTTTACGCGCGAGTGGGATCATATTAAAGCCTGAAAGGTGGAGATTTGCGTTTGATGTAACATCATCAGAGCTGCACCACGTTTCTGTTACACATATTATGTCAAAAATATTTGAAGTTTCCTCCAAGTTATTGCAAAATGTTTCAAAGTTTTTTTTTAAGCTTCTTATATTGAAATGAATAAGAATAATACGATCCCGCTCCAGAAATTTTTTTATTTTATTGTTATAAAAATAAAAAGGGTTGCTTTGTAGAGCACCTGTATTAAAAAAATTAAAAATTAAAAAAATTGTTTAGATCTTGATCAAATTTTTTGTCAGTTTCAAAATTATTTGTATGAGAAAAAAAAAAAATATTTTTTATTCAAAATTGTTTGAACTCATTTTAAAAGTATTATTAGCATAAAAATATTTAAAGAAGGAATTTCTGTTTTAATTTAAAAATCTCGTGAAATTAGTTTATTATAAATGACTCTTGCAAACTTACCCTTTGATCGTAATTCTTTTGTTTCTATAAAAAGTTTCTTCCTTTTTTCGATCGTTAGCTCGCTAAAATCTTTGTTTATGTATAGGTGTTGATTACATAATTTTATCTTTACGTAGTTTTCCGGTATCATACTTTTGTCTTTGTAGTTAAAAAACTTAAAGATAACTTAACCTTTTTCATCAGATCGATTCTTTCCAACTCTATGTGCTCTCTCAATGCTAAAGTTAGTTTGAAAACCAAGTTTAGATTTCAACAACTCCTTTTTTTTCACTTTGTTCCCAAGTTTCATTTACGCTTTCATCGATACCATTTATTCTGAGGTTATTTAGGCGACTTCGATCCTCAAGCTCCGCCATTTTATCTTTGATAATATCTTCGTTTTCAAATATTTTTTTGTTTTTATTTTGTTCGTTAGGTGTCAGTAAGTTTTTTTTTTCAGTCAACACACGTTCATGCTTTTCGTTTATAAATTCCATCAACGTTTTTAGTTCGCATACTTCAGTTTTTAAAGTTTTATTTTCTCCCTGTATACTAAATATTTTTGCTACAAGTCATTCTATTTTGTCATAAAAAATTTTTAGTATAGTATTCTCGTGTTTTAATTCGTTTCTAATTTTCGCCATTTTTTTTTCTCGCTCTTGAAACACGTCCCACAGTGGAAAATAGAGGTCTGTTTTAGATCAAAAATCAATAACTTTTTTGTTACTAAAGATAAAGTGTTGAAATTTTGCACAAATGTAGAGTAGTATATGGGGCTTCTAAGGAAATATTTTTTATAAAAAAAAAAGTTTATATAAAATTCGTAAATAAAAATCAAAAACCTCACAATTTTCATTTTTTTTTTACAAAAATCAATAACTTTTTTGTTACTAATGATAAAGTGTTGAAACTGTGGACAAATGTAAAGAAGTATATGAGGCTTCTTAGAAAATATTAAAAAAAAAATTAATATAAAACTTTTAAATAAAAATCAAAAACATCACAATTTTCATTTTTTTTTATACTTTTAACTAAACATGTTCTTTTTAATTTTATTTAAAAACTTTAAAAGTATTAGAAACGACAAAAAATGCTTATTTATTTAGAAAATATATTAATATTAAATTTATATAATAAAAAAACATTTATACGAGCTTTTGGCTAATCTCTAGACAAAAAAACAAACAAACGTTTTAATCTTTTAAACAAAAATTTTCCTTATATAAGGTTTAATTGCTTTACTAATTTGATTTTTTAATAGTTTGTAATTAATTAATTTGCATATATTTAAACATTTACATGATTACATGACATATATTTTCAAAAGTTTATAAAATGCTTATTGTAGCAATATTCAGAATAGCAACTTTTATACAGGGAATCAATTATAAGTCGACTTTCAAAAGCTGCAAAGTATTTTCATCGAGTTCTTGGACATTTTTGCTGTACGGTTTTCTAATGCTGGTGATGTAGGGATTGGAATACGTCCTCATTTGTAGGGATTGAATTTGTAGGTGATGTAGGGATTGAAATACGTCCTCATTTGTAGCTAGTCTAGAAC